AACAATGTGTCACTTCACAATCACCTTTTCTGTCGAAGGTCAGAGGGTGTGACCGTACCTCAGTGCCTGTTTTCCATCTCAGTCCTCATTCCCTGAGATTCTTCTGTACCTTCGCTCGTCTTCCTCAAAGCGCAACCTGTTGCTAGGTAACCCTGGGTCACAGCTGCAAGCTAAATCAAACCTTTTTCCAAGTTATCAGTGAGATGGGCAGTAATTTATTAGTTTGATATAGCCAGCCAAGAGTCGGATGATAAAAGTTGACTGGGCTGCAAAAACCTTGTTTGGAATTCATGCTGTATTCCATTTACAGGCTTTCTTTATGACACTGCAAAAGCATTTGGATGGATACTCTCCAGACCACACACACATATGTATAAATGTGTGTGAGTATATATGCAGTATATATACTCACTCGTGCTTATCACAAACACAGTTATAAACAACTAAATTAATAAAGATGTTGAAAAAACATGAACAAAAATGAACACAGTAATTAGTAAACTGTCGGATTTAGTGTATTGTACAATAAATTACATAAAACTCTTTACTAAGATGTCTATTGATGAATAAATACTACATTTAAATATAATGGCAAAAATTAGTTTATTAGCCAAAACTGCTTTATGTGAGAAAGGCAGAAGCATGCGTCATAAAAAAGTTACCCTTCAGCAACTATTGAATAGATTTTACACGTCATACCAGGGGGGTTTCTATCTATCGAAAAAAACATCAGGGGCTAAGTCAAGTTTACCGGAGGCTTGACTTTTTTTTTCCTTTTTGAAGGAAGATTGGCATCGGGGGGCCTGTTTCAAGAACCAGAATTTCTTATTAGCTGGATATCTTGTCAGATTTAACGTAGTCTGGGCTAAAAGCGGTTTATCTTTGTTCACTTACATTTAGCCCAGATTATCTTAAATCCAACACATTATCCGGCTAAGCAAGAAATCCTGCTTCGTAAAACAGATTGCGAGGCTAAAATATTCTGGGCTATAACCACGAGTGATCGGACCTAACGACGCCTATGCGTCACACAATCGTTGTTTCTTACTGCTTTGTGCACATGAACGCTTAGCGTCATCTGGTGGTTATAATTATAATAGCCGGAGAAACTAGGTTAGTGTATGCATCTAAATAGCATAACTAAATAAAATGTTCATCAATAAACTGGATATATTTTGACTCAAAACAGGAAAAGTCAAACGAGGTAATATTTGCCATACTATCTATACGCAGCTTGGTAGTACGTGTCAGCGTTTGTGCTATTCTTTGAACTTTGTTAAAAGTTCTTTATAAAACTATGTACAGCTCCGAGTCACGTGACTTGTTTTGATGCAACTATATATATACATATGCATATGCTTAAACTGATTCAGCGACTACAAAACCAATGCAGTAATATTAATTCAGCGACTAATGTGATCTGCTGTATTTAGGCCGATTTGTCCGTCCTTTGTTGCAGCTAAATTTGGACCTGATTTAATTTCATTGACGGTAATTTGATTGTGAAAGTGGCCGATCATGTAAGCCTGAATGAATCATGCTTTTTGTGAAACGCCTCCCTAATGTGCAGGTAATTAAAGTTTCCAGGACAATCACTGAACCGCGGTGCTGCTAAAACATGTATAGGCCTACTATCGTTTTCGAAATAAATTTCCCCCAAGATCGATACAAACACACTCTCGGGCTAAATGCACAAGGCTGCCATGTACCAGATCCCCGAATGGTGTTCAGGTAGTTTTTACCATGTTGTTTTTTCCCATTTAATATCACTTAACAGTACGAGCTACAGGAGTTAGTGGAAACAGGAAAATGGTTTAAGTAAAGTTTAATGCACGACAATTAAGCCGTGCATTTTACGTTTTTAAACGAGCGGATGCGATGAATGTGCACAAATTCGTGCGTTCAGGTACCACCACTTCAGGGTTGCCAACTCTCACGCATGGGGCGTGACTCACGCTTTCGGTCTCTTACGCACACGCTAGAAATCTTATGGATAATCTATATTATTCCATTATAAACTTAAAATTAGCTACGTCAAGAGCGTTGGGGTAGTTTGCAAACACTGCTGAATATTTACAAGGTAATAAAACTTACATACATATGTAAATGCGCGTGCACGTGTCTTGGACTGAAAACATCACTCCAGCCAGCTGACCAAATTTGGCAACCCTTCCACTTATATGCTATAATATATTGAATCCCGATTAATAACAATAATAAATAGGCCTAATAAAAGAGTAAAAGTATTTATTTATATATTTTCTTCATCCTTCAGATAATATCAGAGTAATTTTACTCCTATGTGACAAAATACCAAATGGTGGATTAGGTTTATGTCCCCACAATGTAATACAAAGCTGTTTTTTGCATTGTGGGGACCATGTGTGTGTGAAAACCAGTAGTAGGACTGAGTTTTCCTGATGCATTGTTTTGTTGGATTTCTGTTTGACTGACAGATGGATCGTGACATTCCAGTTATTCAGTTTGTAAATAAATCCTTCCTGTCAAAACCCCCTTTCTTTACATTATTTATTCTTGCATTAATTGTCAAGATTGGAAGGCACAAGAATTGATCAGGGCAAGCATTTTACATGAATTTTTCTTTCAAACACATCACCATCAGCAGGTACATTGAACAGAAAGATGAAGCAAATTAAAACGACAGCTTACCAAATAAAATCTGGATTATTCTGCAAGCAGGACAGAGACAGTTTGCTAAAATCAACCATTCGATAGATTAAATATTAAAGTATGCCAAGATGTGCTCTTTTACGGATCTATTTATTTACTTTTGAGTGGACCTATGTCTATTTAATGTGTGTCAATTATTCATAACTTGCCATCTGGTGAGGTCATCATTCATGCAATTTTTTATTGCATATAATATGCAGAACCCATAACTATGACAAATTGCAGTATAAGATATTAACATACTAGATGCATCATAAAAGTCTAACAGTGAAGCCTCCCTGTGATGTCTGAAAAATTATTTAAAGCACAGTTGAACAGAGGAGCATCTACTGCCATCTGGTGGTGATGGAGGTGACCCCACCCCCCCACCCCCTCCTCTTTTGCTGTCCGTCGATTTTGGACAGACTCCCTAGCCTTGTGTTCTATGTTCCCTGGGATAGGCTCCACTCTTTCAGTTGCAATAAAAATTGCAAATATTACTGTAGATGTACTGTGTGCATATTTTAGACCTTAAGTATAATGTCTTTATTGAGTAGTATCAGTCCATCCATTTTCTGTAGCCGCCTGTCCTACTGAGGGTCACGGGAGGTCCAGAGCATATCCAGTAGGCTATGGGTGCAAGGCAGGGAGCAACCCAGGATGGGGCACCAACCCATCACAGGACTCACTCCCACACTATTCACACATACACACCTATGGGCAATTTGAACTCCAACTAGCCTCAGCATGTTTTTTGACTGTGGGGGGAAACCCCACGATGTCAGAAGGAGAGCATGCAAACTCATCACACATGCAGCATTGTACTGCCCCTATTCAGTAATTTTTAAAAATCATTATAAATATGGGTGATATTCACATTTACATTTTTGTTGTATTCGGCAGCTCTTTTTCATCTGAGCACAGTAACTTAAAGCTGAATTAAATAATTATTTGAACAAATATTAATAATATGAATTAATGAATCCAAGGGCCACAGATATTGTGGACGATAATTCAGCAGTAGAACTCCAGTAGAGTGACCACAAAGACGATCGCTGATGCAGACACATTATCTTCTTCATCCTCAATGTTACTTGGACAGCACAACTACATTGCAGGAATCGGATACACAGGTGAAAAAAAATACCTCAGCTCTCTCAGTCTCTAATACTGAAACAGTCAGTATTAGGTAATGTATATGGGCTTTAAAACTGCAATGGTAGACAATGAGAACACAGTGACATCGTATACTGCTGGAAGCCAGTTACCCCTTCAGCATAATGGTCTCAAATTGCTGTTTGTTCGTCCACTTTGGTGGGAATTCCATCTCCATTTAAAACGGATCAATTTCCTAGCCACTGTCGTATTTTCACAACATTTGCATCTGTTTAGCACACTTTTTGTCCAAAGTGAGGTAGAAGACACATAATACAAGAATACAACTATCACACCTTGTAAGTGTTGCTAGGCTAAGCTTGAGTGACCAGTAACCAGTGCAAGATACTTATGGTAAGAATAGCCATACAGAACACTGTTTACAATGGAAAATATACAAACGAATAGCATTAGGAAAATATGCAGTACTATGCAAGAGTCTTAGGCAAAGAAAACTATCAGCAACGTTTTGGAGAACAGAGAAATCCTTGTTTATTTACAAATTATACTGTTAATTTGCATATCTTCTAATGTTAAATTGTTATTTTTTCTGAACAAATATGCACTTACAACCCAGATAAATAGCTTTAAAGCAGGAGTGGCCAATCTTTTCTGCAAGACGGCCATAGTGAATGCGGATTTTTGCTGCAACTTCCTAATTAAAGGACTGATTGGCTGGTGAATTCTCACACCTGGGTTTGAACAACTCACCTAAAGGTCACCCCAAAACCTGCATGCACACTGACCCTTTGCAGATAAGACTGGCCACTCCTGCTTTAATTATTTACTTTTACTACCTAAGACTTTTGCAGAGTACTGCAGTAGGAACTTAGTCTAAGCCTGAAATATGATGGGGTATCTACCAGTGCCAAATAATATCTACATGACAGTCAGTGAGGATAAGGAACTGGCAAGGGTCAATGTGAGAAAGAGGTACATCATGGTGTTCAGTGAAAACAAGAGTCTTAAGACATTTCTTGATGGTCATGATGGCTAATTTTTAATTGAACAAATGTGTAAAATTCTCACAGTGTCAAAAGATGATATTTAGAAGCATGTGATATTTTATGTCATTCATGACAGACTGTACAGGTAGATTGCGCATTGCAAATAGAATATCTTCTCAGTTCAGAAATTCCCAATGCCTAGTAATAATTTATGCATTACCTTTATATCCTGGGAATGGTTAGCATTTAGGTTAAAATATCAGTATATAACATGCTTTTCATTTCTAATTAAACTGTTCTTAAATTTATGTACTGACGGATTAAAGTTGATTAAATTACCAGGAGTGAAAGTAGGATGGAAATACAGTGTAGGATAGAGGATCTGTGTCTAGGGAACCGGAGTTGGCGTGATGGTCTCCTAGCAACAAAAGAAATGCCAACAAGCTGAGACAAACACTCAGCTGGGGCAGTCGAGGATGGACGAGAGGATGGAAAGGAGGGCTGCGTAAAGGGAAAAAGAGAGAGGGGAGAAGTGTAAAGTAGTCTGAGGTGGGACTGGTGTGGAATGCCTGTGCACAGGTAAGATTTACACTTCAATCACAGGGGCTGAGGACGAGTGAGATCATTAATTAATTATGCAGGGTTTCTAGTTAAAAATTACAATGTATCAAATATGTCCAATACTATTTACTGCCTTTTTTAAACATGACAACATAGCAGGAGATAGTCAACCTAATATTTATCATTCATAAGCGAAGAAGTCAAAAGGGTAAAACTACAGCCTTTAGCTTCCAGTTAAATTTAAATTAATGCATTTAACATGGAACATGCTTTCTGTGTATTGGCGAGAAACTACTTTTTTACTATTTTTGTTAAAAAAAAAAGAAAAAGGAAAAAAAACCGTGAGCAGCCAATGGCATGCGAACAGCAGAAGTTACTCATTCAAAATGTAGGGGGGGGGGTAATGTGAGAATGAACAGGGCTGTATTAGAATACGGAAGAGAAGGATTCCCTTACTGCTAGGACTTAGGCCAGCGATTTCCAGTTTAAATTGATGCTTATAATGAAGAATGTTAAAGTGCTGCTTCCTTCACCTGGCACATCGTCACATACTTAAGGTTCTGGTGACATGCAGACATTGTCTGAAGTGCATTTCCATGTATCAGCTTTCAAGATACATATATATTTTCTGTCAAGCTGGCCGTGACTACTGACTAGCAAGATTTCAGTTTGATTAAAAGCCGGTACTTAAGATCTTGATCTAACCAGACTAGAGTTACTGGCCCTTTTAGGACAATCATGGTCAATGGAGTTTCCATGAGAGACTGCAAACAAAAAGCCTGTCAGTCTGCACTGTGTCTGTCATCTTTATCCTACCATGTGTATTATCTTTGTTATGTGGGGGCTTTTCTTTAGGGGTGACCTTGTGATTGTTATAATGTTAATAATGTAAAAATATCAAGCTCATTAAACTTGCATTGAAAACAAATAGATATAGCAGTATATCCATGCATCCATCCATCCATCCATCCATCAAGCACTTTTGTGCTTATCCAGTATAGCCAGGAACTCATGCTGCGTTCCATTTGAACTCATAATTCAGAAATTCTGAGTTTCTAATCGGAAATTTCAATTGGAATGCCACCTCATGTTGGAATTCCGACTTGTGAACTCAAAGGAATCGACACAAGCTCAGAATCCAAGATGGCTGCGTCCTTTATAGACAGAACTGAAAGTTCTCATTTTATACAGTTTATTATAGCACTTACGTCTTATTTGTGGCTCATTAAATCAGTCGTACACACAGTACTGTCCAACTTATCTGTGGACGTGTCGCTACAGAGTTTTATGCGCAAAACACCACATATTGTGTTGTTATATCAACTGATATTGCTAATAATGGCTAACAGTTTAGAACTGAATTTCATGTTTAGCTGTATTATTTGTTGGATTTAAGGTAGTCTGGGCTAAATGTAAGTGAATGAAGATAAAGCCCATTTAAACTGAGGTGCCTTAAATCTGGCAAATTGTCCAGTTAAGCAAGACATCTTGTTTTTTGAAACAGGTCCCTGGTATTGTTAAATGGCTTTCCGACTTGGACACGGAATGGAACACGTTTGACTTGTGTATGATGTCATTCCCAGTTCCCAGTTCCGACCTCTGAGGTAAATGGAACGCAGCCTTATCTTAGGCAGAATAAAGTTGAAGGGGACAACCCTGGATGGGTTGCACACACACACACACACACACAGGCAAAGATTACTGGAAATTAGGAGATATTAGTTCACCAAACAACTACCATGGTTTTGGTCTGTGGGAGCAAACTGGTGCGACACAGTGAGAAGATGGTAAGTTTGAGCTACCATCCCAGGCACACTACCCAGTGCCTCTCTGTAGTAACTTTGTTAAATATAATAAATACTGCGTCTTCACAGGATTTGTATTTTCATGGCCAAGTGTGATCAGTTTTTATGCAATTTGTTACAGATTTCAGGTGGTCAGATGAAAACTAAATTATTAACATTTTATTTCTATTTTCCCCCCTTCATCTCAGTGATTTAAAGTAAACGTCTGAGGTCATCAGGAAAAGAAAACTAAACTAAACTAAAAGCATCCATCATGATGTTCGTAGGGTCAAACATGAACAGCAAGTCATCCCTTGGAAAGCATAATTCCTCCCCAGTTCCTCTGCATAGTGAGTCAGATGATGGTCCAGCTGAGTCCAGTGAGGATTCTGAAGCTCTGCCAATGGAAACCCTTCCTTGCTGGGCCAATCAAGCCCTGTGTAGATTGACAGAGGGTGAGAGGGAGCTACAGCGCCTGAGAGACTATCAGGCTAAGGAGCTGGAGGTTGTGAACCAAGCCCTGGAGCGCGCCATTTTGGGAGTACAGACGGAGGAGCGCATCCTGCTGGAGCGGGTGGCTCAGGACCACCGAGATGTCCAGAGACGCCTGGAACAGCTGCAGAGAGAAAATGCAGCAGCGGCTCGAGTAGGCCTCTCTTTAGTTGATGAGCGGCTTCGGCAACTGGTGTACTTGAAAACGGAGGTGAAGGACTGGCCGGGCGATCAGTGTGTGTCTCACCAGAATCAGCTGCTGAAAGGTGTTTCTGAGCTGCTTCAGCCCTGGGAGATAACCCTCTCCCTGAAGCGGGTACATTTTCGACCCAGTTCTCAACATAAGCCTATCACTTTCGGAGACGTTCAAGTCCACCAGCATGACCTCGGCTTCACCGTCGGGGCTTGTGTACTGCAGGGCCAGCCGTGTTCCCTCCACACAGACGTAGTTCAGGAGGAAGTCCCAGACGGGGCAGAGCAGACTATGTCTAACAAGCCAGAAGCAGGACATGGTCCAACAGTGACACAGATGATGGGTGAGTGTGTGGTCAGAAATATTTGTCTGTGTCCCAGGAATGAAGATGTGGAAGATGAGATGCAGACCTCTCCAAGGGCAAGATGTTGGCCGCCATTGCAGAGTCCTTCCCTTAAGGAACCATCGCAGCAAGATGATGTGGAAGACAGCAATGAAACTGCCCCTGCTTCCCAAAATATGGAATTAGATTATGTGGGACCGGGGGATAATGAAAATGAAGACGACAGGTTGACAAATGGTCCAAGAAATCTGAAAAATCGAAACCTGCTTTCCAGTTGCCAGCATCCCACCAGTCCAAAAGTGGCTATGCTGGAGCACCATAAAACTGTAGACCAAGATGTACTGAGACAAGACTCAGAGAGAAGATTTTCAAACTGCAGCCATAACAGAAAAACATCCCCTAAGGCAAACAATCATGCACTAGCAAGCAGTCAGAGTTGCCTTTGTTTGTCATCCAAAGGCTACCCATGCTCATGCTCCTCAGATGACCATCTTCTCAGAATGTCTGGTGAAATGAAGAGGACTTCTTCCCCAACGGATAGTTTGGACTCTTGCTACACCTTCATCGTTAGTTCCCCTCGTGATTACAGCTGCTCCCTGTTCCGTGACCCACGCATCTCCAAATCCACAGCGGACCTTTCTGGAGGGCACCGGCCAAAGATCAATGCAAGAAAGGAGACACTGCCGCAGGGTCAGAGGGCTAAGGGGAACTTCTTGGGGCAGAAGCATCAGAGCTCTGTGCCTGGAAGAGTCTCTACTGGCAGAGGTGCCAGAGAGCAGAGCTGGCAGAGGTTATTGCAGAATACTAAAAGTGGTGCTGGCCAAGTAACCAGATCTGTCTCCATGTCAGTCATAGAAGGGCCCTTCCCCAGTGACCCCACAGAGGATCAGATGGAAGATGGAGAGAAGGCCTCGCAGAAAAGAGCAGAGCCCGACATAGTCAAGGAGGATGAAGATCCATGCCCTCTAAAGGCAGTGCGGCTGGTCAGACAGTTTGGGAAGCAGGGTTCAGGTAGGGCTGATTTTACTCTCCCTAGTGGGGTTCATGCCACACCCCAGGGTCAGCTGTTTGTGGTGGACTGTGGAAACGCTCGCGTGCAGGTGACCGACACCCGAGGTAATGTCCTCCAGCAGGTTTCCACCGAGCACATGGAGAATTCCAATCGCCGCTGTCAAAACTACTTCGACATTGCTGTGAGTGTTAAGGGTCTCATCGCGCTGAGCTGCGCAGCCCGGAGAGCCCTGCTGATCTTTAACAGACATGGGCGCCACTTGCAAACCATTGGGGGAATGGGAGCTAGGGATGAGCTGGAGGCACCCAGGGGAGTGGCTGTCAACAGCGAGGATGACTTTCTTGTGGCGGACATTCGACGGGGCACTCTGACTGTCTTGAGGCTAAACCCGAAGACCGGTACCAAGCTGGAATGCATGACAGTCCCAGGTTTCCATAGACCCTACCTGGTAGCAGCCTGTCCAAACACAAGGCTCGTGGCTGTGTCAGAGAGGGGGAGTGAAACAGGGCAAGCGCCTTGCGTCAAAGTCCTGGATGATAGCTGGTGTGTCATACGTGTTCTGGGTGTGTGCTTGGGTGTGGGACCCCTCCTTTCATGTCCTTGGGGCATATGCATCGATAAGGATGGAGATGTGTTGGTGGCAGACTGGGGCAAGGAGCACCAAGTGCTTATATACCCTGCCAAGGGTATAGGTCAGGCTTTGGTGAGCCAAGGCCTGAGAAGCCCCCGTGGCCTAACCTTGCTGCCTCAAGGTGACCTTGTGGTGTCAGACAGCATGCACCACTGCATCAAGATCTTCCAGTACAAATAATATCATTATGCTCTGAAAATTAAGACATTCTAAAGTCAATGGTACTACGTAATCCATTTAAGATGTTTTTTTCCCAGAATATAATCTGCACCATAGTCCAGGACTATTTGATTCTTATAACTGTGCTGTTTCCAGAAATTTACTTGTACTTATTTGAATAATGCTATCCAGAAAGCATCTGATTATTACAAAAAAAGAAATAAATATTCCTAGCTAAATTAAAATAGAAATGTTTGGAGTACTCTGCATTTGTCATTTGCAAGGGCATAGGTTTGGTTTCAAACACACACAGTACTCCCACAATTTTTGGTAGAGGCGTGTCCCTGCCATCCATACCCAAATCTATGCCCTTGGTCATTGTACAAATTTTCTCTGTCTTACCCAAAATTCTATGATAAATAAATGAATGGTTTGCATAGCAGTTTGATATAATCTTGCGTGAGGCTGGGCTCTCTCTCTGTAAAACTGTCATACTTCTGCAAATAAATATTTACTGTTCTCTGTCTCCCTGGATCCATAATCATCTTTAAGGCATAAACAGTGTAAACTAGATACATTTCACCGGAGGCCTGGAGTCAATTTGTAATGCTAATAATATCCTATAAACAAACATGTGTGTGTGTGTTTAGTTTAAGAGGTCACTTTTTTTTCATTAGACAAATTCTTCTCGTGCGAAATCAGTAGTATCAGGTAGGGAATATGGAAAATTAAATCATAATATCACTGAGTCTGTGTGTGCATTTGTGTGTTTAGATTTTCTTTTCCTGAACCCTTGATCTTAGTACAGACATCCATCCATCTTCAATACCACTTTTACAGCAGAAGTTTGTAGTTCTTATTACACCGAAACCAAATTATTTTACATCTCAAACCATTTTTCCCACTTTCCACCTGAAAGCAGATATTGTTATAATTCGGATATTCATGCATTTTGTATTTTTACATTTATAATTACCTGCAACACTGTTTTGAAGTTGTTTCTGTGTTGCTGTCTGTCATAATATAACATATTTTAATCCCCACTTTAGATCTTCATAGAATAGAAATATGATTTCACGGAATTCAGCAGAATGAGCTTCATTCCAGATTTATGACTTTTCTTTCTTTGAAAGAGAACAGATTTGTCATCCCAGCACTATGAATTGAACAAAGAGTATCTACAGGGTGTAATTAACAAAGTGGATCATTATTCATCCAGTAAAATACATAATCCTGAAGCACACCTCTCCTGTAATTTTGTACTTCAATTTAAAAAAAAACCCTGTTTCACATAGTATGACCTTCATATCTGAAGGTCAAATGTTAACAGGAAATGCCACTCTCTCGCTTGCAGACAGAGGGCAAAGTCCCCTTGGAATGGAGTGTCACATGAGCCTAACAGGCCGGTACCTTGGAGACTCCCCACACACATCGCCCTTCTCACTTCACACAAGTGATCAGATGACATCTGCTCAGAGAAGGACTTGCTTGGATTCACCTGTTTGAGAAGAAGCCAATCAGCCATGTTTGTTCACCTATCAGGTTTCCACTTCATTTACTGCATATGTGTCATTACCATCCATTCATTTTCTGACTGCTTATCCTGGTCAGGTCCACAGAGAGGCCTGGAACTCATTCCAGGAAGCACAGGGCACAAGGCTGGGTACATCTTGTATTGGAAACTGTTCCATCACAGTTCAGATACATGCACACACTGACACACATTACTGAAAATTATGGGCAATTTTGAGACACTTAGTAGCTACTGTAATCTGCAGGTATTTTGACAGCGGGACTCAGATGAAGATACAAATTCTCTAATAATATGCACATACGCAGCTCTGGGGGGTGGCAAGGGGTGTCAGTGGCCACCCTAGACTGAAACCTGGCCTCCCCATTGGTCACCTGCATCATATTAGCATTTTTGTGGCATTTTTTTTTTCTTGTCCAGAACAGTAGTAATACAGAAGTTCGGGAAATCTTGTACTTAGTGTAAGCTTGTTACCTTAACTGCAAGAGATTGATATATCAAATGTGTTTCATAATTCCACCACTGCCTGAATTATAAACAAGAGAGAGTTATAGCATTCAGGTACCTTAAATGCTCTCTTATTTTCTAGATGCACTATATTCATATCTAGATTCATCCTCTCCTCCCAAAATTTTCTGGCTCTGAAATTGAACAGGCAGGAGTTGAATCATTCAGGTGTCAAGCAACAATATTATCCACTGAACTAGTATTCTACTTCATATTTCATGACTAACACTGAAACTAATAATTACATGAATATAATTACATTTATCTGATGCTTTTATCCTAAGCGACTTACAGTAGAGGGAAGGGTTGAGATTTATATAATTAACGCTTGGGGCATGTTTTCTGTGAGCCAATGGCCTTTTGTTTGATGTCGAGACCTGCGGCATTGTCAGTGCACGAGTCCGTGACTCTTTTCTCAGCATGCTTGGTGGCTTTCGCACAACAACCCTGTCTAGTGCACTTGCTGCTGCTTGTGAGTTCACCCACCAGTCTGGAGAGTTTCTGCCACAGAAAACACACATGGGGTAGGAACACAGTCATGTTAGGCCCACCGGTCCACCCGGGTGCCTGTGGAGAAGCTCGTCGTCACCAGGGCTGCGTTTGCAAACACAAAGAAGCTAATATTACATAATCCAATGATTGAATGGTTCTTGAGCTTCCTCCTTATACTCCTTATACACATCATCATTACCGCCGCCTCAATGATGCCATCACTACAGACTATTAGTCATATAATGACTTACTCCACCTCAAGTTTCAGATTCTATTGTCACAGGGGTGCCAAGGAACACTGTGAAATTCTTACGCAACATTGGCAGGGTAGAGCATTAAGGGGGTAGGACAAACAGAAGCACAGTGCAAGACAGAACAGTGCAGGACAAACAGCAATGCAATAAAGAAATAAGTATCATAAAGTAATAAATGTCTGCAATATGGCAAATTTATCACTGTATAGAAGAATAAATTAGCATAAGGTACAAATAATGTACAAAAAAGTTTAGAAATGGTAACATAATTGGACTGTTGAATGCTATATAATTGAATGTGTGAGAGCGTACGCGTGCCTTGTGACGAAGTGGCATCCTGTCCAGAGTGTGCCTTCAGAGTGTGCCTTCGGAGTGTGTCTTCAGAGTGTGCCTTCGGAGTGTACCTTCAGAGTATGCAATCAGAGTGTGCCTTCAGAGTGTGCCTTCAGAGTGTGATTTCAGAGTGCACCTTCAGAGTGTACCTTCAGAGTGTGCCTTGTGGCCTTTGCCACCTGGGATACATTCCTGACTATGCTGCAACTCTGACCAGGATTAGTAGCTGGAAGACAATGGACTGCAGACTGCACAAGCTGAAATAACAACATTTTGTGCTGAATGCAAATGAAGTGCTTGAAAAGGTTTGTGCATTATTATTTAGCTTTACAAAAACATGGACTTAACATCATAAAATCAAAAACTACTGCAGGGGTCGCCAGCTCCAGTCCTGGGTGGTCCTAGTCCTGCACATTGTTGGGCTTCTCCTCATTTAACACACCTGGTCCAACTTCCCTGCTAATTACCACCCATTTCTTGAGTTGAATCAGGTGTTGTGGAACGTGGAAAGAGTTAAGCTGTGCAGGGCTGGGGGTCTCCAGATAGGAGCTGGACACCCCCGAACTACAGAATATCAGTAAAATGCCACACAAGTAAACAAAAGTAATTTTTTAATTAAAATAGTTCAAATTCAACACAGTAATATACAGCAGTATGAAACTTGCTTCCATTCATCTGTGTTATAGGAACTAATGAGAAAATGTATATGTAATATATTATGAATTTAAAAATTAGTGTATTGAAGAACAAAAAAACCCGAACAACTACAACACCATTCTGGTAGGGGTTACTACTTTTTCTGCTAATAAATTTATTTTTAAGACAAGTCACAAAGAAACAGTCACAATTATGTGGAGAAATGCAGTCAATTACAATATATACAATCATTGATTTTCTGGAAAAATCCCTCTCTGTTTCACAAAAACAGTCTATGCAATACTGGAATTTTGTAACCCACTGGTGTTGCAAGTGAATGTTGACATTGGGATAATATTAACATTTGGGCTCAAATTCTTTCTCCTCTCCTCAAAGATATTGTCCCCATTTCCTTTCCTGCTGTCCCAAATCCTGTCATACATTTACTGGAACTGATAGCAATTTGCAGCTCATATTGTTCTTTCGAACAGCTTCATCATGAAGGCTTCAGGCTTGTCACACTGTCCTCTCCTTTTGTGTTCACAATGAGTCAGCAGCTAGACCAAGCAGGCAAATTCTTCTTTGTTTTCACACTTTGCTTTATTCAAGCAATTACAATAATTTCAAATGAAAGCTAGATATGTGGTAGAGAGCAGGCATTAATGAAACACACTCTGCCTGAAGAGGATATGTTTTTAAAAATGTTGCATATATAAATAAAGTAAAACATGCAAAAAATTACACACACACACACATATATGGTTTATTGTTTGTTTATTAAAAAAAATATACTATTGTAAAATGATTAATGACTATGTAACTAGGAAGAATTTTGAAGAATTTATTCCTATTTTCCCTTGGCATTTACTACAGCATTATATATGATTATTTAATCTCATTTTTAAATACGTTTACTATATCTCTAAGAAACATTAATACATATGCGCATATATATCTTTGATGATGTGTATAAACTAATTTAAGACTTTTCAGCGGGCATAGTGAAGTAAAAAACAAAAAAAAGAGTTTGCAGCAGGGTATCAGACACAGTAAAGCGGTTGGGATTTCAGCTTGTTTTTGTTTTTTTCTGCCTACAACTCCGCCCACGCTTACCTCTCCACTCACTACCTCCACCCCATCCCAGAAGTAGCCTGTTGGTGTGCATTCACAGCCCTACTATAAAGGGCCGGGCCGGCAGAGGTGCAGCCAGCTGATTCAGCTCTCTATCTCCTCTGCAGAAGCTCTTCTGAAGCTGCACCTGGACGATCGCTCACCATGAAGCTGCTCTTCGGGTCCCTGTGCGTGTGCCTGGCCCTGGCCATGAGCCTCGGTGCTCCAACGTGAGTATCTGCTCTCCTCTGGCTGCCTCGATCTGCTCTGGGCACCATGCTACCTCCTATCACTTACCACTCAGATCTTACTCATCTTTTTATCTTCTTACCTCCTTTATCCAACTCATCTATGTGCCACTTAGGAATTATATATAATATGTAGCCTACAGTTTATCCCAGGAAGCACAGTGTACAAGGCAGAGATGCCCCTCAGAGGATGCCATTCCTCCCAGGGCACAATTTACTAATCATAGCTTTTTTTCCAAGTGTATTTATCATAGTGCTGCTGGTTATATTGATTTTTCAATGATCGGTGTTACTTCTGTTTCAATGCCTGTGAAGTCTCCAGGGCTAAACTTCCAAGAAATAAAACGTTAACTGTGTATGTAGAAATATTTGAAAGTTTGTAGCAGGCAGGGGTGAAAAGTGAGCGGGATGTGACGATTTAAAAGTGGGGTTCTCATTGTCGTGGTTCTAAGTTCTCCTTCTCTTAATCTCTACCCAGGTATCACACTGATACTCGTTCTGGTAAGTTTTACTACTAATCCACCTACTTACAAGATGATGCATTCATTATTCATATTCCACTGTAGATACAGAAAGTATTTCTTTAATTTATTAACTGAATTTTACAGTCACTTTAATATAATTAGTATAAAAATGTATTTTTTTATGATCCTATGATGGCTTGTGGATAAAAAAAAAAAAGTTAATAAGATGATCAATCCATTGCATCATGTTACTACTTTTCTACAAAAATTAAGCGGTAAAAATAATAGGTTAGAGGGTATTTTGTAACAGCCAATTCATACAATTAGTAAGTTTTCCATAAAAATTAAACATCAAAATACTACATTAAAATACTACAAAGTGTGTCAGATGTAAAAGGAGGCAGATACTCAAAATGCTGCTTACAAAACAATACTTAACTCCGAAACGAATGAATGAAGTCTGTTGCTGTAATTTCAGTTGAAGCAGAGTTCATTTTATGTGTTATAACACAGGACAATGTGTAGCAGTTAATTAGTGACTGAAAATGCAGAGGAAAACAAAAAAAAACTTTTGTCACAAGGAGTAGATAGAGGACATAAAGAAATGAGGTGGAGGAACTATTATTGTCCTCATCAGCAAATATATGATGTGGGAGGTGCTGGTGTTGTCAGGAGCTAAGGGCGGGGGCGGTGTGTCCAGGAGCTGAGAGATGACTTGGGAGGTGCTGGTGTTGTCGTGAGCTGAGGTCATGGGTGCTGCTATTATGGTGAGGAACTGGTACTGCTGACGCTGTTTTCCTTACTCACGCTGCTAACTCTAGCTGACACCTTGTTACTTTTCACCAAATACATTTGTTTGGGAAAATGACCAAAATCGGTCTCTGAATGAAATTTTATAAATTAAAAGGATGTCTATCTGAAACAAATCTTTCTGAAACAACCAGGGGCCGGACTTAACATAATGCAAGGGTAAGCAGCCGTCTCGGGGCCCCGGAAACTAGGGGCCCCATGGAGAAAGCATTTCCAGAAGTTAAATTTAAGGATATAATATCGTCATATGAATGACAGCAACATGTATGTTATTTGGGTTTTTGGGGACAGTTTTCAGGATAGACAAAGTTGTCTCTGTCCTGGGTGTAATGAACTGTCCTACTTTGAAACTTCATGCTACCCAGCTTTCTGTTACCACTGGAGATGCAAGACTAACATTATATCTCCCTTGTCTGATACTGCCTTGCTAGAGTAGTAGACAAGTTGCACTTTGATTTGAACATTATTGATGTTCCATCGTTTTTAATTTTGCCCAATTCTCTTTCGGCTCTTTGGCCCCCCCCCCTTCCATGTGGGCCGAGGGCCCCCAGAGAAATTAGTCCACTCCAGAAACAAATTATGCATCTAGTTATATCTCTGGTATAAAAATGCCTATTCATAACACGAAATTGCAATGGTAGAAGGAGAGATCTGAAGACATAACTTCTGAATCATTCAATCGACTAAGACAACAATGTCATTATTTTATCCTGATTGCTCATCGCAAAGGAGGGATACCTGCACAGGCATATTTTTTTGTGTTTTAGCCAAGAAGGGATTAGCAAGGGAGGAAATATATATATAAAAGATTAAGTCCTGCCCATTTTGAGGCAGCTCAGTTTTTACCTCACCTGGCTCTCAGCACCGCTGCTGACAAACTGGCCATTCTTACTGGCCGCTAGATGGTGCTGTTTACACAATAACTATATAGTTTTTATTACAATAGTGAATAGAGTACATGTGCTTTAAATAACAATAAGATTTTAGTGATGAGTTCTTTCAAAGTTACTTATTTCATAATTTAATCTAAAAAATCAAGGAAGTACTACCTCCTCTACCTCTATGAACCAGCCTCCTCTGATGAAGGTTTGCATCTTCAAGTTGTTGCCTCTTCATATTAATAATGTCACCATATTCATATGGTTATTTAGAGTTTAATAAGTGCAAAAATAATATACATGAGTACAAGGTCATAAAAGAAAATCCATCTCAACTTTCATTGCTTTAACCAGGTCACAACTCCACTGATTCTGATGACTACGATCTACCAGACCACAATCATGATAGTGAACACCATCATTATATTAGTGGACTCGATCATCAAGGCCATTCTGATGACCATGACCATAGTGCTGCGAAACTTGGCCACTGTGATGGGATTGAGTTTGATGCCGTTGCACCTGATGAGAAGGGAATTATCCACTTTTTCAAGGGTACTTTAATATTTTAAATGAAGTTTATTGCCGTCCATTGAAATTATTGTTACATGTCTTCATGCTTGAGTATGATGTAAGGCACCATTTGTGGTTTCCATGATCATCTGACACCAGATTTCTAATGTGCTATTTTAAGATGACCAAGTATGGAAGGGCTTCAAAGGGGCATCCGAGCTAGTGAACGGCACATTCCATGAGCTTGACGACCACCACCGCCTGGACCATGTGGATGCTGCGTTCCGCATGCACCATCAGGACCAGTCTAAGGACCATGACCACATCTTTATCTTCATGGTACAGCCATGCTCATAACAAATCCTGTTTATATGCTTGTAGCAACACATTATGTAATAAGGTTATATTATGTAATAGCAGGTAATTTTTATCACAAAATGTAGTGTTATTACATAATTTGTAACAACACATTATGTAATAACTTGGGAAAGAAGTGACAAAGTTTCATTAGAAAAATCTGTTTAAGATTTAAATTTAAACTTAAGATCACTCCTTGATTGTTTCTCAAAACCCTTTGTGACTAAAGTAATTCATAACTGCATTCATAAATTAACAAGCGATCTGACCCACTCGTTATTTTCTGTTATTCTTTATTTGAACATTTGCCTGCTATTCTGTCACAGAGACACATAAGTCAACTGAAATGTATCCAAAAAAAATGCTGATGCTTTTTTTTGGACAATGTAATAATAATTATGATTATGACAATAATGATAATAATAATAACAATAATAGCTTCAAGTTGTAATACATTATTATATTGGAATAACACCACATTATGTGATGAAAATGTTGCATTTTGATATTACCTCTAATGCGGCATTTTACTTTATGTGTTGTTGCAATGCTTCCTCAGTCACTCGCGCCCAACATTTTGATGATACGCTAAAAGGCTATCGCCCTTTTTCAGGGCTCAAACTTCATATTCTATATAGAACCAACAACATTTTTTAAGGTCAAAGGAAAATATATTCCTAGAGTAATAAAGAACATGAAAGTTACTGAAGTATCAAAAATCTTTAATGCCACTTCTGCAGGGTGACAAGGTCTTCAGTTACTACAACCACAGCCTGGAGAAGGGCTATCCAAAGGAAATCCGGGAGGTGTTTCCGGGAATCCCCAGCCACCTGGATGCTGCTGTGGAATGCCCCAAGAGCGAATGTAGTGATGACTCTGTCATTTTCTTTAAAGGTCTGTATGTACTCACATGCTCATGACCCTTATAACTTCATTATTATGAAACGTATTACATTAGAAAATAAACAAACTATTTTTTTTCCTATTGTAATTGATAAAATTGACCAAATAATGCAATTATGACTCCAGAATAAAGACACAGCAGAGATGATGTATTTTATAAATGTGTGATCAATTATGGCATCGTTTAAACCAACATTTTAGCATAAGAGAAATCTGTTGTCTTTTAATGAAGTTTATGAAATGAAATGACATTGGCCTTTGGGTATTAATAAGTACTGTATGTGTCCTTTGTGTCACAGACAGCAAAGTGTACCACTTTGATGTGAAAACTAAGACAGCTAAAGAGAAGCTGTGGCCACAGCTTCCCAGATGCACGTCTGCCTTGCGGTGGCTTGAGCATTACTACTGTTTCCATGGACACAATTTCACCCGATTCCATGCGCTCACCGGAGCGGTTCCGGAAGGCTACCCCAAGGACATGCGCGGATACTTCATGACTTGCCCTGGTTTTGGTACGTCGGCAAGAATCAGACTAAATACCTACCATGTTCCTCTTTGTAATATTCTTAGATTAATAGACAGTAGTATACTCATTTTCCATCTTCTTTTCCAGTACAGGGTTTTAGACAATATAACAGTAAAGTATGATATTATACATAATATAATACAAGGTGACAGTCCTATTTGTTACGATGCTGAGGTAGTTATTTGGGCAAACCCCCCCAGAAATATGGTTGATATACAGATAGTAAGTGTGAGTAAAAGTGGGTATTCAAGAAAACTAGAAATCTAGCTAGTTTATATTGACACCTTGTTTACTGCCACCATAACGACATATAGTTTTTGCTATAACTTGATTTATTTGAGTTCATGGCACGTTTGAGGTATAGGCAGCCTTGCTTTGATTGTGACAGTTCCTCTGGTATGCTGTACCTGCAGATCATGGTCGTGAAAGCCATTTCAACTGCACCAATCCACACCTGGATGCCATCACCACAGATGATGCGGGCAAGGCCTACTCCTTCAGGGGTACGATCCCTAACCCCCCCCCCCCCCCCCCAGTCTGTCCTGTACTTTGTCCTGTAATGCTAAAATAAGATCGAATGGCTGACATACTTAAAGAGGTGACTAAGAAATAAAAGACCAAAAGCTGTAAAATACCCACCTGGTC